TTCCATTTTAAGACGTTTTGACTCGGTAAAGCCAGATAGAGAGTTTTCTGAGTATGAAACTTATTTAATATTTATGGCGAAATAATATGCATGTTGTCAGTTAGGATATTTAATTCTTTTTTTCTAGCTTGGTCGATTCGACCAGAACTCATAGAGAAATATTCAATTTTAAGACGTTTTGACTCTGTCCGGCCAGATAGAGAGTTTTCTGAGTATGAAACTTATTTTTCTGGAATAAACACGTTTTGAATCTTGTTTCGGCTCTATGTAAACATACTCAGGTCGTGGTTTTGTGTTGACAGCAGGGGCTGGCCCCTAACAACAACATGCCGAACCCCGCGGTTTCGGACCCCCAACACGCCCAGAAGCTTCTCCGGGTTCTGCGCACCTTCTGGCGGGAGCAGAGCTTCCACGACGCGCTGCTGGTGGTGGATGGTGAAGAACTTCCGGTGCAGAAAAACATCCTGGCCGCCGCCAGCCCCTACATCAGGTAACTCAGCCCACATCCAAGTCGGCCATTTTGATTAGGTCGTGTGCAGCTAGCAGCTTTTTGAGGCGGAAACGAAAGTTTAGTGGATATGCGAAATCGGAAGATAAACGATGTCCTGACCCTAAACCTGACCCTGACCCTAAACATAACCCTGACCCTAAACCTAACCCTGACCCTAAACTTAACCCTAACCCTAAACCTAATCCTAACCCTGGATGGAGAGGAGCTCCCGGTGCAGAAGAACATCCTGGCCGCCGCCAGCCCCTACATCAGGTAGCTCCGCCCACATCCAAGTCGGCCATTTCGGTTAGGTCATCATGTGACCAGGAGGTTTCTGAAGTGGAAATGAAACTTTGCTGTCTGTAAGAGATAAGAAGATAAACGATGTCCTGATCCTAACCCTAAACCTAACCCTAACATCATGTGGCTCCGCCCACATCCAAGTCGGCCATTTTGATTAGGTCATGTGCAGCTAGCAGCTTTCTGAGGTGGAAAGGAAAGTTTAGTGGATATGCAAAATCGGAAGATAAATGATGCCCTGACGCTAAACCTAACCCTGACCCTGACCCTAAACCTAACCATGACCCTGACCCTGACCCTAAACCTAAACCTAAACCTAAACCTAAACCTAACCTTAACTCTGACCCTAACCCTGAAACCTAGCCATGACCCTAATCCTGACCCTAACCTTAACTCTGACCCTAACCCTAACCCTGGACGGGGAGGAGCTTCTGGTGCAGAAAAACATCCTGGCCGCCGCCAGCCCCTACATCAGGTAGCTCAGCCCACA